CATGTTAAATTATTACTATTTAATTCATTTAAACTTGGTTGTTTAATGATTATGTTGATAAATATTAATTTATTTTGTCACATAAAACATTTTTATTTATTTACATATTATAATAATTATTTTAAATTTAATTGAACTATAAAAATATCCAACCTAAGCATATACAATGTTATATTAAATAGTAAACATGATTATTGTAGAAGAAATAGATATATTTATTTATCTTTTAGTTATAAGGTAATTTCAGTAGAAATAAAATACGAGATTTAAATAAATTAGTAATGAAAAATATACCAACACTCAAAAACTGTCGAAAACAAGATAATTTTAATAAAATAAAAATATAAGGGTTATATGATGTGTTTGCAATACTAGAAAACAAACAAAAAAAAAAATTATAAAGATTATTTATTTACAATTATGTTAAATAATTGAATCATATTATCCACCTATTTTGCTTTGATTTCTTTCTTCTTTGCAACTTCTTCTTTTTTCTCTTCTGGTTCCCTTAATTGTTTCTTTTCATCATCACTGTTAGCAATCTTATTGTTGATTAAATTGTGCAATGCGATAATGGTCCTAATAGTGGTTGCTAAATATACAGCAAGCATGTGATCGTTTACTTTAACATGCATTGCGGCAACCAAAGTATCCTTTTCTACATCTGGCAACAGATTAAATATTTCTTGCAGTTGATAAATAATTTGGTGATTAACGGGTAATTTTCCATCAACAACTTGTTGTAAATAATCTCTAATATCGACCATTTGTTTATAAAGACCTCTAGCACCAAATATTATGTTGGCTACACGTTGGCTTAAGGAACCACTAGTGGAGTCTTTAATATCTCTAAGTAAATGTTCAACACCAACCTCTTCAGCTTCTTCTGCTCCAATTTCACTAGCAATGTGTTCCAACGTCTTTGATGGCGGTGATCCATCATCATGAATTTGCTCCACAACACGGTAGGCTTCAGTAGGTATACCAACATCCTTGGGTTTAACATCAACAATCACCATGACAGATGTATTATTTACACAGTACTGGCGTACTAATTCGTTCACAGCGATGTCATTTTGGTGGAGTTTAGGACCAGTATGATACCAACCAACGACTTTTTCTCGGGCATTTACTTTTTTGAACATACCATACATATTTTCAAGATAGTCATGATCGAGGAACCACACAGACTTGTCTTTATCATCTTCATCAAATGGAAGTGCAAAACTATTAGAAATATCGAGCACTTTGTTTTGCTGCCAAGAACCAAGTAATACACCTACTACTCGCTTTTGATTGCCGATCTTTCCGAGCCGGGTAAAATGATCAACAACACTCAGCAATACCAATGGGTGAACCACCACTTTGGTTATAGGCGATTCATTTGACGACATTGTTCTGGAAAAAAAAAATTGAAAATTACTTACAAACATAATGATTCTTAAATTCAATATTATTAAGTTGTTAATATTATTTAATATAACAATACCAAAATATAAAATACATTTATACAAAGAACAATAAATATTTAACAATGTAGGTACAATTACTGAACTAAGTTTTTTTTATCAACACATTATTAAAACATAAAAACATATTTATTGACAAATACCGTGAATATAACGATGAGCATATTTAAAAAACTGAACTTACTTATAGAGTATTCAATGTATGCGCTTATTCAGAATTTATTTTTAAAAAATAATAATCTTGTTATTAATTTATATTTTTTAAAGTACACTTAGATAAGTTAGAGCTACTAGAGTACTAGACACTAGTTACTACAAAATACACTAATTCTCTCAAGTCCTTTTTGATATTTGATAAAATGACAAGCATAATACACAGAATAAAAYAACAATAACCTCAAAATTATTGTTGTATAGTACGCTATCTACACTGTTTGGGATAAGAAAACATTTGATTTTTGAAACCGAAAAACTCCATCAAGAGGACAATCATTATCACAACAGTGATTTCAAATTTAATAAAAATATTATTCTTAATTGATAATATTCATAACTACACTACAAATAATTTATAGATACAAACACAACCATGAAAAAAACTACGTTGTTTAACAGTTCAGAAGGTAATTTAATTGTTATTTCATGTTGGATATTATTTTAGCCGTTGTCACCGGTTGGCGGTTATTACTTATAAGTTATAACGTATTATTTTTAAGGCGAAATGAATAGGCAATTATAATTGAAAGATTACACAAGTCTTGTGTATATAATAATATCACAACAATATGTTACAATAGTAAGTCATATTTTGTATGTATAATAATATTATACTATATTTTAATATTTATATAAGTAATATGTAAAACTAGCTGATCCCCGTGCTCTTCGTTGTCCATCAAAAATATCGACTCTATATGATTCAAATTTTTTGGTTAATTCGTCGTTTATACCACACTAGAATTTTGATAAATTCTTTCTTAGTGGTTATTATTTACACTTTGAAACAAAACTACTGTCTAAACTTCATACTCATATCTTCAGCGGTTCCGGCTAGATGATTTTTCATTTTTACCCCTCTAACCCCTTTAGAGGGCTGAATTTTGAAAAATCCTTTCTTAGTGCGCCCCTACATTGCTTAAGGAACCTCTTTTACAAAATTTCAAGTCTCTAGACCCAGTGTGGTCTGGGCGTTGATGAGTGAGTAGGGGCGGTATCTTATATGTATATAGATATATCCATAATATTATATCAAACGATTTGAAATAAAATAAAGTAACAATACACTTAAGATACCTATACTAGTTAATAAGAGATAATATGAAAATATCTAATATTATTATTACCATCGTTTATTATTTTAGAACATGACTAGCTTAGTCATATAATTATGGTACTTATCACCCAGAAAAAAATGTTTTAATATTAATGAAAAACGACTATGAATTTAATGGAAAATGGGTATGAYTTGGAGCCTATGAAATTTACTCATTAATTTATGAATATAGAATCTTTTAAATTAATGAAAAAACAAACAGAATAATAAATAATAATATATTATTATTTATTATTCTGTTTGTTTTTTTTATATTGGTTTGTTACTATTTTAATGTATTGTATAATTGTTGAGCTAGATTTATTGATAAAAGCTAAAAAAAAAACATGACTAGCTGATGGTGTGCGGCGTTTTTCGTGACGAATAAAAATTATTTTATTTTCTGTAATTAATGATAATATATTTTTCGTTTATTATGAATCAGTCATTCGCATCATCTCGCTATTATATATTTTTCAGATTATTTGTATTTTTATAGTAGGCAGTATAAAATAAAATTTAACTTAATCGTAAATTCCTAAATTAAAATATTAACTTAAAATAATTTACTAATCGTAATAAATTATTAGGGTTGAATTAAATGTTTTCATATAAAAATGTATGATAGGTACATGATATATGATACACACCACGAATTTTTATATTAATTATTCTATGGTATTTAATAATAATTAATTTTGACGTATTATTTGACCAAAATAATGTTTAAAAATAGTTAAAATTGCATGTACTGTCACATTGTTGGCCTATGAAGTTTATATACTTTATAAATTATAAATAATGATGATATCTCTTCCATATGTTATGATTATGTTTACATTYAGTAACGAAGTAAGAAACTCAAACCATTTACAATTCGGGTAAACTCGTATTCACGCATAAATTGTACAATGTTTAATAATGTATAAATATTTCAGATACAGTGCAGCTTTGTATTGCTGCCTTCCTACCTACTGTGGCTAAAAAATCACATACACACCTTAAAATCAGACTTTTGTTTTTCTTAAGTGGTACGTTGAAATTCTTGAATATTTTTCTAGGACTTAAATTTACATAGCAATATTATGTTTGTATTATAAGTAGTGCAGAGATTTATTCAGCATTTTCATATCCCGTTGTGTTAGTTGCCATGCCTCTACCCTCACTACCCCTTAGATACATAAAGAAGGTCTATTCTTGATACCTAGATAAAATTAATTCTTGCACGTTATTTTATTTAATGTAATGTAGTGCAATGAGAAAAACACATTGTTCATAGAATAATAAAAACATTTTATTCCAATGAATATGATCACAACACCTTTACAACTATACAGAAATGTGACATATATTATGTTGGTTGTTTATATAAAAAAGAAACTCTATGGTTCTACTAAGCATCGAAAAGAGCATTGCAATAATATTGCATATTATTGATCAGTGACCCCTCCCGTGGTCTCTGAGAACACATTTATTCGCATGTGGCATTGCCACTAAACCAGCAAAATGTTTTTATTTAAATCTCTTTTATTATTATTATATATTTATATAGTTATGTTGTCGGAATGATAAATAAACAAGTTAGAAACCCAATAATAAATTTTAGTTGCATAGTGTCCCTAATAGGTAGATACTTAAAAATATCGAATACAATTATTATTGTCGTATGGGTCATATCCTTTTTTTTATTATGTAGGTATTTAAGTGAAATTGAAATTAATTTAAAAAAAGTTGAATTAATTCATGAGTGTTAAACTGCCATCCTCTTATTTGTCACTCCCGTTAAAATATCTGATCCTTTGTTCATTTAATTCACAAATGTTTTTAAATAGGAAACCTAAAGCTAATAAATCGCTAGAAATAATTAGGTATATTTTGTTGTATACCTAGTTAAACTTAAATAGTTTTATGTTTTCCCAAAGTCTTTCGTAAATGTTTCGTTAGATAATGACAGTTTTGTAGGTTAAGTTCGGGTTAAGAAGTGTATTACCTACTTTCAATGACTGTACGCAATGAATTTTTTATAATGTTAAATAACGAATAACGGTTCCTTTTTCGAGAAATGACGTATAACTTACACTTGCGTGTTATATATTATTATGTTATATCGCATACCGATTGCTTTGAAATTAAAAACCGCGAAGATGTATTTTAATGAAGTGTACACATTTCACTAATATACGTATTACATATTATAGGTATTGATAAATTCTCATTACTTACAATACGATAACGGTTTATTATAAAATATAAATACCATACAATATATAATATAATATACAAATATACCTACCTAATTTGGAGTGGAGGGAGATAACATATACATTTTAATAATAGTCAGGTTTTTACGGGCGCCTCTAGGTGGTATTATGAGTGGAATCCTAACTGTTACGCGTGTACACGTAACTATAACTACATTTACCCAGCGGCTGTTGTTGTTTTTGTTAGTGTCGTAAAAAACAGTGCCGACTGATGTTTGTGTATATCACTATATCAGTGTTATATTACTTCATTACTACATATTTATAGACAATATTATCATTTTATAAGGTATTTAGGTTAGCGGGTTTTTTTTTGCTCGCAAACATTTAGACGAACATTTTCTTACTATCMTATGGCTGGTCTTGTGCGGTTCGAGACACGAATGTAACCGAGTGATGCGTGTTATGACGTGAATCGTGGTTATTATATTATACCAATATTCTGCAATGTATTAATACTGTACAGTGTACATATTATGTATAATGTACTCGTGTAACATAATATTGCATGAACAATAGTACAATATAATTACTATGTAATTACGTCCTAATACAGCATCCGACTGATGATCCATCGACCACCGTAAGTCTATCCTATTCCTTCTACAGATTTAGGGGCCTATCTTATCCATATGGTCATCATAATCAACACTAATGAAGTACCTTATGCGTAATGAGCTAACGACCATTGATTAATACATACATATTTTTTTAATTTCTGAGTGGAGCGATAAATCTAGTATTATAATGTTATTATATTGAAGTGTGTTTTTGTGATCCCTTTAAGATTTAAATTTTTTAGTAAGTATAGTCATATATATAAAATAGAAGTATACATATATATATAACGTATACCTGTATTATATATATATATATATATATATAATAGTTTATACTTTTTTATTTTATTTAATATTTATATTACATATAGGAATAGTAAGTTGTTGTTGATAATAATGACGTTGGCACTATATGGTATTTTTTGATAGTAAGTTATTAATGCTTTAGTAAGTATACTTTTTATTTAAATATACTTTCAGTCTGCAAATTATACATAATATCAGTATTCAGTAGTTACAATTTTATAGTTTATTTTTTATAATATTTTAATAATAGCTAAAATCGTACTAATAACGACTAATAATATTAATACCTAATTATATAGTTCCACAATTATTTTCTTCAGAGATATTCTCATTGTTTTTTATAACTGCCCATAATGGTTTATTATTATATCGTGTGTTCACCAATTTAGGGAACACTGGATTTATCGTCAGGATTATGTTAGAATAAATCGAATTTTTTTTTACAAGTTAGTGTTATATAAATACACATTTTCAAATAAATTTCAAATTTTTAACCTTCTCGAGTCTCGGTACGCGCATGCGCAACGCAACTTATTTTTTTAAAATAACAATTGGTATTTTTGATACCAAATTCGGATATACTGAATTTTTTTAAGTAGTTTTGACCTGTTAACCATGGTTCTAAAACCAAAATTGACTGAATGAGAGCCATACATTTTTAATAAATAATACATTTTTACAATTCATTATAAAACCATTTATAATTATTTATTATTGGTTACTTTTTGAATTTATATATATATATTTTTATACGTAATATAAATAAGATTAACTTCATACGGATATAAAATTATTTAATTAAAAATGATTACAACTGTATACGTATTAATTTTCAAAAAGTAACCAATAATAAATAATTATAAATGGTTTTATGCATTTTATAATTGTATTACATGGCGTACAGAGTTACATAAAAGGCTTAAAATAATAATAATAAACTTTTTTTTTGAAAATAGATTTTATTTATTATGTCTTAACTATTATCGTGCTTCAAGTCTTACAATTTCAACTAGGCTATTCGATGATTTAACAATAGTTATTGTAGTGTATAACGTAGCTAATATTCATGTTGTGCTATTAYGTGTATATTATATGGATAGGTATGTTTACTGTATACAAAATATAATTATCATTTATACTAAAGCTTCTATAATATACTTACTATAGACTATAGTTTATAATATAAGTATATATAATATATGTATGAGTAATAAGGAATACACTGCGTGGMCATCCGGTACTCCGTAGCCTGCATGTTATGCACAACTCTCCATGCGGCGGCCGGAGCCAAAACCGTAATGATACGGTGAGTGATGTCAAAAAAACATACTTATATTTATGTATACGTATGTATATAATATATATAGGTATATGGGTATACCTACATAGTGGTTAAAAAAATACCATAGTAATAACGTTATKGTAAACACGAAGAATTTTCCGCATTGTGAGGTAACATCAAAAATATATATTATTATGTCACACAATAATATGATGATCACAGTAGGAAAAGGCGTATTTAAATATATAGGATATGAATTGAATTGTTTCGCAGACATTATTACATCATAATATGTACTATGGTACCTACGTTAAAAATAATTGATCAACGAAAAGAATAATTTTGATTGTTTCATTGAAGCACTATAATAGGCACAGATATGACGTAGGTATTATAGTATTCACTATATATTGTTATAAATACTTACATTTATCGACACGAGCAAAACGTTGTAAAACGTTTGACCACAAAATAAATTAATTTTTGACCCTATTCGGCTAAATATTGTCACATAATATATTTCCTAAACGTGACACATTTTTCTTTACCAAAATATAAAATATAATTATACATATCTGAACATTATTTATTTATTTATACAACATTGGCTTAATAAAAAAATAATTTATAATTACTAATTGAATATTCATAAAAATAAATCGTTAAATTAATGAAAATAGAAAATATTACTAGATATTTTAAACAGTCGAACTTATTAAAATACTCTTAAACAATTAGGTATTATACGAACTGAGTTTAAATTATTTATTTATTAAAAACAATATGTATATAATAAGTAAACTTCACGCGTAAATACCATACTATAAATGTTTTTTTTTTTTATAAATTAAATGTATCTAGCTGTATATATAGTTACTAAACATTAAACATAGTATTATGAACAAAAACGATTCTATAATTGAATCATTTTATTATAACAGCGGTGCATTGTCATTGTGTGATTTGTATTAATTTTTGTCGTTTGTAATGAATAGTGGTTTTTTATTTATTCAACCTGAAAATATTATACTTATAGCATCACTTTTATATTTCAAACTCCAGGGAGTACGTTATATTATAGTTATAGAGTAATAATTTTTATGAGGCAACCGTCTATTGACATTATTATTGAGAAAAATAGTAAACATTGCGTATTTTACTTTTGGTCTCTGTTCAGTGCCCTTTCTATTTTAGCTTAATGTGACAGTGGGCTTATATTAAAAAAATAAATATCTGATGTATAAGATGCATGCTATCATATAAGCTATAATATGGCTTGTACTTACACCTGACCTAGCAACATGTTTGTTTGTGTTATCCCAGATTGCATTAAGACTAGTGGGAGAAAGAAAAGGTTTGTTTATATTTTATAGTAGGTTAACTTTTTCGTATAGAAATCTAAGAGAAGAAATTGTTTGAATGTCGTGGTTATGTAAAACATAGAAATCTCAAGTGCTTTTGAATATCAAAAATATTTTACAAAAGTTTTGTTTCCTTGAAAAATTTAAATTGATCCTAAACCATGCTTTAAAAATATGAAATGTATCCTAACAATTCTAAAACATCGAAATATTTTAAAAATCATATTTTAATTCATATTATCAAGAGCCTGATCTTATTATGTATGTAAAACTATATCCAATTAATCATAAAAAAAAAGCTAATGCATGAAAGTCCTAATAATGGACACTGTCGTTTATAAATGATGTGTATTAGTAATAATTAGTACGATTGTCTATTGAATTAAACCAAACACGTTTTGTTAGTAAAGAAGATTGCAATGAATACGTATTTACCAGATAGACACATATAATGGTGATTTGCAATGAAATTTACTAATATAAAAAAGTTAAAAATTGTTAAATGTTTTTCTGGTAATGTTCAAAAAACATGCACCAATGAATTGATGAAATCATTTTAACGCGTTTTACTTTAATATATATAGCTAGGTACTTATACGAGTCCAGTTATACGTAAGATATAATTAAGGTTTTCTTTACGTTTCATACAATTCTAATAGGTTTGAATGAATCGATTTACTTATTATTTTTTGTCGATGAAAYGTGTTTTTTTCTATGTAACGGGGTCGTAAATATAAAATCGAAAATACTGAGTCGTATCCCAGGCTTTCAATACTCTATTTCATTTAATTCAATGTTATATAATGTTGTTGATCATTGCGARTAACCTAGATTGGTATATATGCGTATAATATGAATATAATATACATAGTTACCTACTTTATGAAACACTCATTTCATGTTTTAATTTTTAAAAATGGCAGATGGCAGCAATATAAAAGTCTAAAAAAGCTATTATTTAACCTCTTTTCTTTCAGTAATAATACATTATTTATATTATGATTGTATAATAAATTATCTATGTCATTATAGTTGTGTTTATTGTCAGTTTTTTTTATTAAATCTTTTTCAGTTAGATTATTCTATAACCAATGTTATATAGTGCTAGCCAGTGGTACAATTTTGTTTCTAAATTTTTCTATAGAAAGAAAACTTTTATAAAGCATTTAGTGACACCACTAAAAGTAGTTTAAAGTAGTATTCAAATATTACAATAAATATTTAGAAAATACATATATTATGTACTTATCTAGATTCTAGAAAGTAAAGAATAATGTTTTARTATRTTAATTTTCACTGCATATAAATATATTTTTCAATGTACTAAATCGTGCATTTAGGTTCAACTGTTTTTAACTATAGTTCTGTTATTAACTATCAAAATAATATTATTTGGATGTCTAACAAATCTCTAACATTAGGTATATGAACATGTCTTATAATTATACTAAATTAAATTTATTTGTGGTGGATATTAGATGTTTTCATTTGTAGTTTTTTGCTTGAAAGAAACACAAAACAATTACCATTAACCAATTAGTTTTAAATTCAAATTTAGAAAAAAAATTCTTATTTTTCTTTTTTAAATTAATTTTCCCACGTGAATGCTAATGAAGTATTTAATTTAGGTGGATTCTTAAATCACAGGTAAGCATTTAAAAAAATGTTTACATTTGTTCCAAACTATAAAAAAGTATGTGTTATATTGGTTTGGTAATTAGGCCTATATAATATATAATAACTAAGGAATTCAATACTCATTTTGATTCAGTACCTAAATTTGTAGTTTTTCAGACCCAGAAAATTGCCAGTAAATAATTATTCAATGATATTACTATCGGACTACTAAAAATAAAAACAATTAAATAAAAAAATATATTTAACTAAAATAATATAGTAAAATAATGTTTGTAAAAATTAGTGTAACTATCATAGTGATATTATAATGTCTCTATCAATGTTTCTTTGTTGTACTCACAAATAATTATCAATTTATTGTAAATACTATATTCAACGTAGGACAATATTGAAATGAAATCTATCCAATATAAATAGTAGGTATAGGTAGGTAATTGAAATGATCTCGAACGCGTTTAAGCAATTACTGCACTGTCTAGTATTTGAAATAATAATTTGTGATTAATGCTATTTTCATAAGGTAAATACCTTATGTGTATCAATTTTTGTTCTAATTATAAAATTTTCGAGTACCTACCCAACTAGTTCACTTTTTGTTTTCCACTATAGGTTCCACAATAATAATAGTAATATATCACATTTAATACAGTGTTTTTCCGGGAGTAAAAGAGAATAAAAACATTAAACAGATGACCAACTCATAACACGTTCACCTGACCCAACCCAACCGGTCCTCGACATTCGAGTCACGGTACTCCTGCACAGACGTAATCCAAACGTACGAATGCCATATAGTGGGGCAGCTGAAATGGAAAGCGATTCCGTCGTGACGCTTCAGTATTCGAATAGACATAATGTTTGATGGACAAAAGCAAATTAGATAATAATAACAAGGTACTTGTCGTAATCAGTTAAATATCCGCGTGGTTTGTTAATTTTGTTAAATAAATTGTAACTTTTGTATGTTAGTACGTTTTATAAACATAAATTTTAAACTTTTATCAAACAATATTGAGATTTCTAATCACTGTAGTTGATTAAAAAAAAAAAAACGGTTTATCTATGCTTGATAAATATAGCTGCTCATAATTTACTATACTATTAGGATGACAACAAGTCGAAAGACCAAGTACTTCAAACTGTCTCAAAATATGAAATTTGGTCCTCATAATATCAGGTAAATACAAGTCTAGTTACATTATATGAAAATTAAATATGATATTAGATGAATATTAACACCTAACTGTTTATATGAATGTCGGATGTGTTTAACAAAAAACTATTCATAGCCAAACATTTTTAAAAAAAATGTGAATAGTTGGTAAGTTTGCCGAGTCAAAAAAACGATTTGTTGTTAAAACTTAAAATTAATATCTACCTATTGATGAATCTTTGAAATTGAAAATATATTTTTAGCATAGTTTAATGTACTTTGTAAATAATATTATGTTCAACGTTTTGTTAAAAATTTTCCAATTACTTATATTTATTTACCGTTATTTTTCTGCTTTTCGCAAYAGATTACCGGTAAATTAAAAATTCTTCAACTTCTCCAATTACCACAAGTATTATGTTAAATTTTTCATTTACAGAAGTCTCATATCAAGTCAAAGTATTTACTCTCCTTATAATGTGAATTATAACTTCTATTTTATTAATTTTTAAGTATCTTTGATTACATGTCGAATGTYGATATAAAGCCATGGTTTCTGATTTACTGATTGTTTGAGGGTACACTATTTAAAAATATAATTATAAATGCTATATATTAATATATTGCTAATATCATGATTAAATACAGTCAATTAAAACTTCATTAATATTTGTAAAAATTAAAAAATTGACGAGTTAATGTATCAAAATTAATAAGCGATATTAAATTTCAGTACAGTAAAAGGAAATATTTTGACGGCAAACGTAAGCACGATAATATAAAATTATTATTGTACTTAAAAAGGCACCTGTTGTGAAAATATTGTTTATTCAGGATAAGGTTTATTTATTTTCTAATCATAAATGAGTATATTTACTATATTTAGATAATAAACACTTATTCGAATGAATTGTTGGATATTGGCCCATARAAAAGAAGGTCGGACATTATGATGTAAACCAACTAAGATAAACACTAAATCTGGTTACTGATCCCCGACAACTTTTATTTCGCATATTTCCCCTCTTCGAATTCAACTGCTATACGGGTAGACATAAATGTACTCTCACTCTATGTCACCAGTTGCAGTAGCTATTGCGTAATGTAATTTTATAAGAATCAAATTGAATGTATTGCGAATTATATCCGGGCAAGAAAATCATGCATAATTTGTCTATGCATAGTTATACCATGCTACTAACTTGTTTTTTGATAATCGTGTTTGCAAGAACATAAGTCACGGGCTCAAATCGAAAATATTGACTTCGATGACCCATTCTTATTTTTTATGGCGTTTTAATTATTTCCATATCAATCAAAAATCTTCAAAAGCAAATGCTCTTCACAATCATACAAATATGCATGCTTTAAGTTTTAAACAATACGAAATATTACGTATATAGATTACAGATGTATTGTTAAATCTAGTATATATTATGGATAAATGTATTTACATTTTTAATTATTACAATTTAATGAACTAATGGTGTTATTGATCGGCAAAAAWGTATTGTACAGTAGTAAAACAGTTAATCTTTATTCTTTACATAGATACATTAATAGTTAATCATTTTATTAGAAATACGTCATAATACATAAAACTTTTATATTTTACAAAATTATTATTAATTCGCAATTTTAACACCTGCGGTGTTGTTTMTTTAATTTAAATAAATACATACTCAATCACACTGTAGTAATAATGGTCGTAAATAATCTTTTAACTATTATAATATTAGTAGGTTCGTTTAAATAGCATAATGTATCATCCTAAATCAATGATTGATATCAATAAACTTAAAAATAGGTTGACGTATTATATTTAAATGATAACACATGAGAAAGTATTGGTAATTTTAATTTTATTAAAAAAACAAATAACTATTATAATGGGTCTCTTTAAAAAATAATCGTAGAAATATAACTGTTTATAGAGCTTATTCAACCACCGCCCTTGCACTGCAATTAATAAACTATAAGATGCATGCAAAACTGTAGTAATAAGATTGAATTTGAATTATGTAACTTGTAACTCCATTCATAAAATTAAAATATAACGACTAGTATCCCTGTATTAACGGGTGTTTTCACTTTCAAAAACGATTTCGTGGTCGAAGGTCGATCGCCTACGGAAGTTCATTAACGTTATTTGTATAATTGCTCTTTATCATCAACGGAAACGTATTTTTCTACCTGATACACAGAATTCACTTGTATTTACTTTCTCTATGCGTTGCTCTAGAAAAAAAAAAACAAGGACAATTAATACCAAATTAAAAATAATAAATTGTAAAACTGTAATTTAATGTTTTAGTATAATTTTCGGGTGTACGAAAATAGTTATAAATTATGATTTATAATAGACGACTTAATAATTTAATAAACCTATATATATATATWTTTTAATTCTGAAGGACAAATTGGTGTTTACAGTGGAGTTCTTTTTTTAATTTGTCTAATTTCTGTTGACACAAATGTGCATATAACTGAACTCCACGCAGAATTTTTTCTTGAATGTGATGATATTAATTGTCATTGATTTAAAAGTCCTTATTTTTATTACGTTTCGTGTGATTTTGTTGTGTAGGTTGGAATTTTGAAACGCTTGTGTTATTAAAAAAAGGTTACCTATATTAAAGAGTTGGTCATTTACATGCCGTAGCTATATTTTCGACAATGTTTTAATGTTGTATCAATGTTCAATCTTTTCTATATTTATACCATAATTATTATGTATCAACATTTCATGTAGAATTTTTTTAATTCTACGTTATGAAAACGAGTTTTTACTTTTTATTATGTAGTGTAGAATATTGTGTTATATTAAAACTCAAATGTAGCTCCACCGCATTTTATAATATTAAACTGTAAGAATGTTATATACCATATTATAATAACGTAGTTATCTATACTACATTATATTATTTATTACTAAACACAAATGCACGTAGAAATTCCGAATATCTAATATCTCTGATATTTTATTAATGTGATTTATAAAATTAAATTATTAGTTAATAGTTATTGAGAATATTCGACTACAGCTACAATACAATATAATTATTATTTAGTATATAGCACTCAATTACACTTTTAAGAAGTATAATGTTATAATATAATGTGAAAATTCATGTTTATAATAATTTTATTTGGAATAGCTGACTAGCTAGTTGCTCACCCAGGTAATATACATATTATAATATTATATTTTATTCAATGTCATTGTTACGATGGTAAATTTAGTAAATTTTACTAATCAGTATAATCATTTGGTGTAATTACTCTAAAAAATTGTCTACTACAAATAAATAATATACCATCTACTAATAGAAAATCATAAAAAATTACTTTAACTTTTAAGTAAAAATTGAYTTATGATGTGTAAATTACTATGAAGTACATTTACATAATTTTAAAGTTATGATCGGATGACTAAACAGCATTATACCTAATTTAAATATGCCTATGATTCCAAGTTAGATCAATTAAATAAATCTACACAACATTTATGATTAATAATTAAAGAATAAATATGTTTATAAAATAAAATAATATTTGTTTGTCTAATGGTTGGTATTATCAATTTGAACTGATTAATAATTTTATTATTTATTAACAATACACATGTTTGAATTTTACTATTTAGTAATTATATTAAACTTTTTAAACCCAACGAATTTGTATGTCAATCTTGTATGAGATTATTGTGTGTAAACTCATAAATAATTAATAACGTGATGAATATAAATGTATAGTGGCTGCAGAATATAGCGTTCTTGACCGATTTATTTTTGTTTCATCAAACTGTTTATATAAAACAAACACATATTTTAAATTTTAATAAATATCTACGGTAATCCGTTTTTTATGTCGAGAGAAGAAGGGTTAAAATAGGACTATGAGCAAACATATTTGTAAACGTTCACATAAATAATTTTAATATTATTATGGTTGGCACTTTGATTAACAAACAAGTTAAAGTTAAAGTTATAGAACATAATAATATAACACCTAAATGTCACTTAAATCATATAAATCAGATTCCTATATGACTCCTATGTAAATGCTGATGTTTTTCTTGACTTATAAAGCAATAATATGAAATAATAAAGGTGCCTAAGTCCTAATAAAGAGTAATCTACAGAAATTAAAAAAGATATTTCCAGATTATATTAATAATACTTTTTAATCGGTCAATCAATAATCAATCATTCGTAATATATTTTTAAATTTTTCTGAAATTCATAACAAGCACGTCTTGTTAACATTTTCAATCGATTCTTTTAAATTATAAATACCTACCCTACTCAAAATTGTTGTAGCATTTCTCTTATTAAAATGATATAGGTATATACTATATATATATATATATATATAAATAGTAAGTGAGAATATATTATACAGATAGTATTTAAATACTAATTAGTAATTACATACATTACTATTAATGTGAAAAATAAAATTACATTTGTTGTTATTTAACTCAACCAGTTTTTAAATACAGTAAAATCTTTAACGGACACCTCTCAATTGCAGACACCTCCAAATAACGGATGGAATTTTGGAAACGGTGAAATGTGTACTAACTGTATTTCTCTTTTTAATAACGGACACCTCCAAATAGCGGACGACATTTAAGTGACCCGTAGAGTGTCCAGTATTTAGAGGTTTCACTGTATTATCTATTTATTATTATCTTGGGTTTTTGGCTAGCTAAGCAATATTGATGTAGTACTTAGTACTAAAATTATGTTTTTTCCGTGAATTTTGACGATGAAAATGACAAGATATTTTTTATATTTATATTTTTTAACATCTAATTGATTAGGAATCAGGTTTCTTAACAGAGGATTTTTTTATTTATTTTTCAACGTAAAGAAAAGCTTCCAACAACCTGTATTATATAGATCTTAGCACTAATATGATTTTAACCAAGCTAAGGCTATAAATATTTTTTTTTGAATGAGAGAAAATTTTATTTTAATAATAAGTCAAACCTAATAGCTAATGTCTAACTATAAAGT